TACAACTCCATGTAAAAATAATAATACCTACTCTGTCCGTTTTGCACTGAACTGAGGGACCCTGGGAGCCCAACACCCCAAGCCCTCTGCACAGAGAGACAGGGGTGCTGCCTCTCTTAATGATCCTTGTAGACTTTTATTGCAATCTCAGGCATGAGAAAATATAGTACAGTGTCAAGCTTCAAAGAGAGATTGAAGGTTAAAAAAATTTTTTTTCTTTAACTGCATGATTGAATTCTTATTACTTTCTATTTACTGGCACTTCTGTCTTGTCTTTTTCTTATCACTGCTAAATATGCCTTAGGGGTGAGACAGTGTGTTGTATCTGGTGAGTATTGCTTTTAGTACTCAGGCCAGCAGTGTTGCTTGGCTTTTCCCCAGATCCCTCTGTCTCTAGTGCCCAGCACTTTTAACCCTGTGCTTTATCCTGTAGGTTAAGGTGCTTTTCCCCTAAGTTTTCTTCTAGGAGTTGTACAGATTCAGTCTTATTTTTAATTGTTTAGTCCTCTTTAGGTAAATTTTTGATATAAGGATCCACCTTCATTCTCTTACATGTGGATATCCAGTTTTCATAACACTATTGAAGAGAATGTCTCTGCCCTATTCTATGTTCTTGTTGCCCTCATCAAAGATTAGTTGATCATAGATGCGTAAATTTATTTCTGTGCTCTCTTTACTGTTCCATTAGTCTATACATCTGTTTTTATGCTAATACCATACTGTTTGATTACCATATCTTTGTGACATAGTTTGAAACAAGAAAGTGTGCTGCCTCTAGCTTTGTTCTTTCTCACTATTGCTTGTATATTTGGGGTATTTTATGGCTCCATGATAACGTTAGAATTTTTTTTTTCTATTTCAACATCTCAGTGACATTTTTTCACCATTGAAATTTGATTAGGTAGGGATTGCTCTGAATCTGTAGGTCACTTTGGAACATTTTAATGATAATCATGCTTTCAATCCATGAACACAAGCTATCTTCATTTAGTGACGTCTTTAATTTCTTTCATCTGTATTTTCTGTTTTTCATTGTCACTGTACTCTTCTTTGGTTAAGCTCATTTCTAAGCATTTTATTATTTTGTTGCTATTTTAAATGGGATTTTAAAAAAAATTCTGATAGTTTGTTGTCAGTGTATAGAAACACTGCTGGTTTTCATATGTTGATTTTGAATTATGCAACTTTACTGAATTTGTTTATGAGTTCAACCAATGTTTTAAGGAGTTTTTAGGATTCTCCTGTAATTAACTAGTTACTGCTTTCAGAGACTAAGTCTCCATTTATCACCCAAGTTAGGGTATAGTGATCATAGCTCACTGTAACCTTAAATGTTTGCCTCAGCCTCCTATGTAGCTAGAACTATAAGTGCACACCACCATGCCCAGCTAATGTTTTAAAATTTATTTTATGATTTTTAAGCAACAGGCCTCACTATGTTGCCCATGTTTGTCTTTAACTCCTAGACTCAAGTGATCTGTCTGCCTTGGCCTCCCAAAGTACCTGGCCAAGTTTTCTCCTGTTTAAGATCCTATCTACTTCAGACAGCCATAATTTTATTT